GTAGAGTGCTAGCCTTGAGCTGAAGAGCTGAGGGACAGCACCCAGGCCCAGAGTTCAGGCCCCACGACCGGACCAAAAAAAAAAAAAAAAGAATTTTTGAGCCAGGAACTGGTGGCTCACACATGTAATCCTAGCTACTCAGGAGGCTGAGATCTGAGGATCACGGTTCAAAGCCAGCCGGGGGAGAAAAGTCTGTGAGACTCTTATATCCAATAGACCACCAGAAAACTGGAAGTGGTGCTGTGGCTCAAGTGGTAGAGCACTAGCCTTGAGCTGAGGGACAGCGCCCAGGCCCAGAGTTCCAGCCCCACAACTGACAAAAACAAAAATTTTTGAGCCAGGAGCCAATGGCCCATATGTATAATCCTAGCTACTCAGAAGGCTGAGATATGAGTATGGTGGAGTTGTTGGATTTTTTTCTTGTTGTTGTTTTTGTCAGTCATGGGGCTTGAACTCTGGGCTTTGGCACTGTCCCTGCGTTCTTCAGCTCAAGGCAAGTGCTCTACTGCTTGAGCCATAGCACCACTTTTGGTTTTCTAGTGGTCTCAAAGACTTTCCTGCCCAGGCTGGTTTTGAACCGTGATCCTCAGATCTCAGCCTCCTGAATAGCTAGGGTTACAGGTGTGAGGCACGTGTGCCAGGCTGGGTGGAGGTTCTAAACCAGCCCAGGCAGGAGGTGAACTAGCAAAAAAGCCTGAGGTGGAACTCAGGCTCAAGTTGTAGAGTGCTAATCTTGAGCACAAAAGTTCAGAGGGTAGTGCCAGGTTCAGAGTTAAAGCCCAAGGATTGTGCATGCATTTATGTGTGTGCATGCACGCACACACATACTCCCTCCCTCCTTTTTGGGTAAAGGTTCAGGGATAGAACTCCCAGGTCCGTAAGGGTTAATAGCTGCCATGCACTCTGCCATTGGGTTGTACCTCAGTCCCTCTTTATAGAGGAACTATAATGCAGCCTTCACTGTAATTTGATTCTGTTCTCTAATATATTCAACACATGGGACTGGGAAGGTGGCTCAGTGGTAGAGCACTTGCCTTGCATGCCTGAGGTCCTGGGTTTGATTCCTCAGCACCACGTAAGCAGAAAAAGCTGGAAGTGGCGCTGTGGCTCAAGTGGTAGAGCACTTGCCTTGAGCTGAAGAGCTGAGGGACAGCACCCAGGCTCAGAGTTAGGCCCCATGACCAGCAATATATATACACTCAACACCTCCCACTGTGTCTCAGGACCTAACAATATAGTAACACTTTTTTCTGGGTTTTTCAGGAGACAGAGAGTGAAGCTGAAGACAACCTTGATGACTTGGAAAAGCACCTGCGGGAAAAGGCCCTGAGATCCATGCGCAAGGCTCAAGTGTCCCCACAGTCTTAGGTGGAAATGTTTGTTATGATGTAAATTTTATTTGGTTTGTACTCAATTCAATTTCAAAATTGCTAAAATGTGTTTGAGCTTTAGACTATAACATTTGTTGTAATAATTGCTAGGTTGAAGTTCACCATGTAAAAAAAGGGCATGGATTTACATTGCAAAGGTGTCCACAGTGTATTCGTGACATTCTTACATTGAGAGCTGACGTAATTCATTTACAGTGAAATATTTTTAAGCCAAAAAAAAATAATCTCCTTTTCAAAAAAGGGGGTTTAAATATTGTTGGCATTCTTCTGGTTCCTTTAAATGCCCCTGGTTATTCCAGAGGGTGTTTTTTTGTCTCCCTCCTTTCTTTTTAGTCCTTTACTTTTTCTTGGATCTTAACACCCATGTAAGTTATGCTTCCAACCGCACATGGTTTGAAAGCCTGCCCAGAGATACGACCACTGCTGAACTACCACAAACGTATAAATGAGTGTTTCAATGCCACAACCTTTCCTGTTGCCTGTGGAGTCTCTGCTGAAAAGAATCAAGATTTGAGCTCTAGAATAAGACAAATGCGAGCATGTTGTTTGCCAGGACACTGTGGGGTTATATTGATGTGTAACAAGTTGATTCAGAACACTGGAATTTCATTCTATTCTGTTCTGATTGATTTTTTTTGTTTTGTAAAGGCAATTAACTAGTCCCAGAAAGGATCCTTCAGTTATATAAAATTTTGTTTCATGGATGTCATGGCTCCATTCATATTTTTGTCTTGTTCTTCCAATTTGGTATATACAACTTTTTTCAGAACTCTTGTATTTGGAACGTTGGAAGGGCCCAAACTTTGAAATAGTGTCTTGGTTTCACTGTTTTTTCTTTTTTGTTTGTTTTTGTTTGTCTTTTTTTTTTAACTAAAGCTATATAAAGCTTGTGGATTAAACAGAATAAATTTCTAAATTTAAAATTGTTTGCCACTCACTTTTACTTGAGGAAAACTGTCTTTCTTAGAAATCTTAGAGGGTCTATCTATATTTTTATTTATCTTTTTGGTTCAGTGGAAGTTGAGTTGTACAGGGGAAATAAAAGGTGATAAAACTGAGGCTTACCATCTTATTTAATCATTGCTCTGATGATTCCTTCAGAGAGAAAGTGCAGATGTGGTAGTGGGAACACACGGCAGCAGAACACTGGGGGCAGATGGAGCCTGGCACATTGGGGGATCCCCCCTCAGGCCTGGCTTAACATTGTGCATTTAAGAATTAGGGACGCTTAGCATTTGTTTGTTGATTGGACAAAGGTACATAGACAGGTACAAAACAATCCTAAAACCCAGAACTCAGTTTTCAGTAGGAGTTTTGATCCATATAAGAAGAAATGTGGGGCCTGCTACCAGTGGCTTAAGCCTATAATCCTGGCTACTCTGAGGATTGTAGCAAAGCCAAGGTAGGAAAGGCCATGAGACTCTGACCTCCCCCAATTAACCACCAGAAAACGGAAAGTGGCTCAAGTGGTAGAGCTCTAGCTTTGAGCTGAAGAGCTCAGGGACAGTGCCCAGGATCCAGAATTCAAGCCCCAAGACCAACAACAATAACAAAAAAATCTGGGGACAGGGTGGGTGGGGAGGGAGGCTGGGACTGGGAATGTGGCTTTGCGGTAGAGTGCTTACCTAGCATGTGTGAAGCCCTGGGTTCTGTTCCTCAGTACCACATAAACAGAAAAGGCTGGAAGTAGTGCTGTGGCTTGAGGGGTAGAAAAGCTCAGGGACAGTGCCCAGACCCTGAGTTCAAGCCCCAGGACTGGCAAAAAAAAAAAAAAAAAAGCTGGGAGTGTGGCTTAGTGGTAGAGTGCTTGCCTTGCATGCATGAAGCCATGGGTTCCATTCCTCAGAACCACATACACAGAAAGGGCTGGAAGTGGTGCTGTGGCTCAAGTAGTAAGAGCCTTGAGCAAAAGCAGCTCAGGTAGCTGGGGACTGGTGGCTCATTCCTGTAATCCTAGCTACTAAGAAGGCTGAGATACGAGTATCACTGTTCAAAGCCATCCCAAGCAGGAAAGTCCATAAGACTCTTCAATAAACCACCAGGAAACAGGAAATGGGGCTCTGGCTCAAGTGGTAGAGCGCTAGCCTTGAGCTGAAGAGCTGAGGGACAGCGCCCAGGCCCAGAGTTCAAGCCCCAGGACTGGCAAAAAAAAAAGGCATCAATGTCTGGAGTGTTTTATCTGTCTAGCCATTTCTTAGCCCTGCTATTCATGAGCCTCCATTCTTCCTCTTTTTGTCCTAGCAGAGAGTAGTAGCCTTCATTTTTCCATGTTGGACAATGAATTCTCAGTCATTTAGGTGAAGTAGTCATGGCTTGGTGGTGTACCTGTGGTGAATCATTCATGGATTCGTGTTACCCTTGGGTTTCCAGGAAACAGCACTGGCTCCCCTATCCTGGCTCACTAGCTGTTTTTGGTCTCTAGTGGGGTCTTTGAAATTTGGCTTAGTTTGTCTTTTATCATTGCTGGCCTTCCCTGTACTATTAGTCCTTTGTTTTGAGAGTGCTCTCCATTAGATGTTGTTGCCTGAGTCAGCAACCCAGGTGCAGTCCAGGCTTATGGGTAGTTTTTTCACAAAAGCCCAGTGGTGGGACCAGTGAACCCCAGGGTAGAAGTGGAATGGCTCAGGCATCATATTTCCAGGCCAAGCAATGGGAGGGAAGAGAGGAATGGAAAGAACAGACACGGGGCATCAGAGAGGCCCTGACAGAGAAACTTGTAATGAAGTTCCTTACACTCATCCTCCAAAGTCCTGGACTTCAGTTATTGAATTCCTAAAACAACAACCTAGTGGCTGCTGAGCCATGCTGGCTGTGGGGCTAGAAGGGTAGGCTTTCATAACATCATCTCTTCCCTCTGCTCCAGACAGGCTCTCTTCCTGAAGCCTGATGAGGTTGAGCTGTCAGCCTTTGAACCTTGCCTTCGGTCCCCCTCCTTGGGAGGTATTTGTCCGACACCTCCCTAATTCCATCTCCTTTGTTCTCACAATCAGCAGTTACTACTGCCTACAGTTAATCTTTGCGCCTCAGGAGTTTGGGTTTATTCACAGCTGGGTCCCAACAGGTCCCTATCAGAGGCACTGGTATTTACTAAATGAATGAGTAAATGGGTCAAATTGTTTGTCATTGTCTTGGTACTTAACCAGCTGCTGCCAGTGTGAGATGAAGCCAATGAGAAGAGATGGTTGTTGTCTCCTGGGAGTGTTTGCCCACGGGGACAGGTGTGCAAGCAAATGGTAGAGTGGCCAACCGGAGACAGTCTGGAGAACCAGAATTTCTTTCTACATCTACTGTGTGGCCTCAGGCGTTACCTGGCCTTCAGAAGTGCTGGGAGTGGTTAGAAACTTCCTCTGGATTTTGAGAGTTTCCTTCAACCCTTCTCCCACTATTCAGGGAGTTTGAATTCAGGGCCTAGGCCCTAATCCTGAGCTCTTTTTGGTCAAGGCTTAGCCCTCTACCCCGTTTCGAATCACAGCACCACTTCTGGATTTGTGGTAGTTAACTGGAGATGTCTCACAGACTTCCTGCATGGACTGGCTTTGAGCCGTGATACTCAGATCTCAGACTCCTACTCAGCTAGGATTACAGGCGTGAGCCACTGGTGGCATGAGAGAGGAGGGTGTTGTGTGTATTTATTTCTGGCCTCTTTTTTATTTTTTGGTTGGTCGTGGGGCTTGAACTTGGCCTGGGCGCTGTCCTTCAGCTCAAGGCTAGTGCTCTACCACTCTAGCACTTCTGGTTTTCTGAGTGGTTTATTAGAGATAAGAGTCTCATGGAAGTTCCTGCCAGAGCTGGCTTTGAACCACACTGGCTTTGAACCACACTCCTTAGATCTCCACCTCCGCAGAAGCTAGGATTACAGCCACTTCTGGTTTTCTGGTGGTTAATTGGATAAGAGTCTCATGGACTGATCCGGGCTGGCTTTGAATCGCAATCCTCAGATCTCAGCCTCCTGAGTAGCTAGATTATAGGCGTGAGCCACCAGTGCCCTACTACTCAGCTGTTTTTGAGAATTTGAATGTTTTAGTTTTTGAGGATTCAACTGTGTTTATATATACAAAGTAAAAATGCGAGGGCTGGGAATGTAGCTTAGTGGTAGAGTGCTTACCTAGTATGCAAGAAGCCCTGAGTTTGATTATTCAGTACCACATACACAGAAAAGGCCTCGAATGGCCCTGTGGCTCAAGAAGAATGCTAGCCTTTGAGCAAAAGAAGCTTAGGGGCAGTGTCCTGGCCCTGAGTTCAGCCCCAGGACTAGCAAAAAAAAAAGAGCCAGGGCTGGGAAGGTGGCTCAGTGGTAGAGTGCTTACCTTGCATGTATGAGACCCTGGGTTCAATTCCTCAGCACCACATAAGCAGAAGGTGGCTTTGTGGCTCAAGTGGTAGAGTGCTAGCCTTGAGCTAAAGAGCTAAGAGACAGCATCCAGGCCCAGAGTTCCAGCCCCATGACCAACAAAAAAAAAACAGATGAGTTTCTGTTTTTACTAACAATACATTCCATTCTAGTAAGTACAGCATACTTTAGGGTAATGCTAGCTACTACACTGGAGGCTGAGATCTGAGAATAGCACTTTGAAACCAGCCCAGGAAGGAAAGTCTGTGAGACTCTTCATCTCCACTAAGCTACTCAGAAAAGGCGAGGGGTGGCACTGTGGTTCTAGAGGTAGAACGCTAACTTTAAAGCTCGGGGACACAAAATTTGTTTTTGCCAGTACTGGAGTTTGAACACCAGGTCTTGGACTCTTACTTGACTTGCTTGCTTGGTAGGCACTCTACCACTTGAGCCACACTCCAATAGTAGTATTCTTTTTTTTGGCCGGTCATGGGGCCTGAACTCTGGGCCTGGGCACTCTTCCCCCAGCTCTTCAGCTCAAGGCTAGCGCTCTATCACTAGAGCCACAGGGCCACTTCTGGCTTTTTCTGCTTATGTGGTGCGGAGGAATTGAACCCAGGGCCTCATGCATGCAAAGTAAACACTCTACCACTGAGCCACCTTCCCAGCCCCCAAGTATACAGTAATTCTGTATCAGAAAGATCTGTGTGGGGGCTCACACCTATAATCCTAGCTACTTAGGAGGCTGAGATCTGAGGGTTGTGGTTCAAAGCCAGCGCCAGCGGAAAAGTCCATGAGACTTACCTCGAATTAACCACCAGAAAACTGGAAGTAGTTCCAAGTGGTAGAGTGCTAACTTTCAGTAAAAAGCTAAGTTCAACCCCATGGCCAACCAGGGAAAAAAAAGTCACTGAGCCACTGAGGGAGGGTTGTCAGTCTCAGAACTGAACACGAGGTGGCGTCAGGGCCTGAGTGGCCACAGCTGGATCTGATGCCTAGCTCCATTCTCTCCCTTTACCCCATCCTTCCTGGAGTGGGCGGCCTGATTTGGTGCCCAGACATTCTCCGTGGGAACCACAGTTCCTCAGCAGGGCCTCCCCCAGTCTCTCCACTTCTCGCTTGCCCTGCGTGAGGACAAGAAGTGCAGACCCATGAAGATCTGCTTCTGGAGGGAGTCTGTACATTAGCCTCTGATGCATTCTCATCTGCCGATGCTCTGTAGCTGGCAGTGGGAAATTTCCTGTCCCTGAGCACCCCACCTCCGTGCTGTGGCTCTTGTGTGCCCTCACAGCATGCCATCCCGACCATTCCCACCACAGCCACCGCAGTCACCTGGGGTCAAGGTCACTGCCATAAAAGGATATCAACCGGACTCACCCCTGTGATCCTAGCTACTCAGGAGGCTGAGATCTGAGGATTGTGGTGCAAAGCCATCCTGGGCAGAAAAGTCTGTGGGATTAAACTGTGGCTCAAATGGTCAAACACTAGGTACAAAATGGTGCCCAGGCCCTGAGGTCAAGCCCCAGGACAGATACACAAAAAGTCTCAGAATGCTTTAAGAGTTTGTTATACCGAAATTCGGGGACCCCCAGAAGACCACCAGAGACCACGATCAATGTAAGCAACAAAGAGCCGGTTTATTGCAAGCTCGAGCTTGGTCCTCCGCGCACACGGTAACTGGTGACGCTAAGAGGCCCGGAGCATAGAATCAGGGCCGTTTTCATA